TCACCACACGAGGTACCTGATTCACAACATCGTGGATATAGGTAATGCTATTCAGAACAAACTGGAGTGTTAGACTTACGTGTCTAAATGTATCGGAAGCTTTAAAGCAAGGTGTATTTTTACCCAGCTACTCATTCACAAGCTAGATACAGGTGTTTCCCACAGAGTTTGTCCAAATGTTGACAAATATACATTATGAAAGGGTGTTAATATAATTCATACTATTATTACATATAATACATAACAAACAGGAAACGACAAAAAAAAAACCCAACCCAAAACAAACAACAACAACAATAACAATAACAACAATAACAATAACAATAACAACAAACAAACAAACCAAACAAACAAACAAAAACAAAAACAACAACAACAAAAGACAAAAACCAAACGACAAAAGGACACGATTACACAATGCCATTTTAGAAAGTGGTCAAATGTAACCTATGTTATATTTGGGATTACATTTTCTTAGTAAATTACAAATTCTAAACAAAAGGACAGACAGACAGAGAAAAGCAAACAAACGAGTCGAAAGTCTCAAAACTTGACAATTATACAAGCAGCACTCGAAATATTAAGCGAACAAACGGACGGACAGAGACAAACAAACAAACAAACATGCGGCATTGGAGGTAATAAGCGCCAAGGACAACCCCAACGCGCCGGGGGAACTAATTAACAACCATGCACAACAATTTGTTGTCAATGAACGAGCGGTTTTGAAAAAACAGGTTCCAACGTTTCATAGATTATTTTTCGTAATAGTTCCTCCGCAAATATAGTCCTCTTCCGTTTTCTGTAAGGAATGGACCAGAAAGTGTTGAATATCACGTGGAACTCAGTCTCAAAATAGCTTCGCTTGCAAATACATAATTAGGTCGGTGGGGGTAGCCAAGTGGTTAAAGCGTTCGCCAATCACAGGTTCGATTCCCAGCGAGGGTACAATGTGTCAAGCGCATATTCATGGTGTCCCTTGCGGCGATATTGCTCGGACATGCCATACAGCGACGTAAAAACACCCCCACTCACTGCTAATACACATGTACTTTACTAAGTGGTTAGAAAGTTGGCGAGAGGGTTTTATTTGAGCAGAACGCTTATAAAATACGGCGAGTACGGTACCCATCATATTTTCAAAATCTGTTGATTGATAAGTGAGTGAGTTGGTTGCCATAAAATATATTGCAGACATATCCGTGTGATCACGCACGTCACTCCAGGGTCCAGCCGTTAACACGTAGGAATGAAGTCCTACGTGATGAGTAATTGTGGCAACATCCCACGTGACACAGTGATGACTGACAACCGGGATCGGGTTAAAGGTGTGTCTCTGTGTAAAGTTTGCTGGCTTTCACGACCTAGAGGGCATTTTGTTTGTGGATAATTACATTTTATGTGATAGTTAAATACGAATGCAAGGTTTGGTTTGAAAACCTACAACTTTGCGCCTAAAAGGATTATTTTTACCAAATTATGAACCGTCAAATTGCAAGAAATACTAGAAAGAGAGTGAGTGAGTGAGTGAGTGAGTTTAGTTTTACGCCGCACTCAGCAATATTCCAGCAATGTGGTGGCTGTAAAACACTAGAAAGAATACGAAAACATCGTGATATATACAGTGAAACAATGTATTAAAAAACAAACAAAGACAGAACAAAACAGTAAAGACATTCCTACCCCCAACTCCCCCAAAACAAAAACATAAATAAAACATACCCATCCCCGCCCTAAAACATCAATCAAACAAAACAAACCCTAAACAAACAAACAAAAAACAGCAACACTAAAACAGATACATGTACAAAACACACACAAAAACCGGAGACGAGAAAAAGATCACATGCAACATGCAAGTAACAGAATTCATGGCATGAACGAACATTCCCTTTTATCTCGTGACATTGTTACAGAGAAGGCTGTGTGTACCCGCCTTTCTGAACACCTGAAGAAACACAAGCTGCTTGACAAACATCAATCTGCATATCGACCCAAACCATTCCACTGAAACAGCACTAATAAAAGTCACCAATGACATTCTAACAGAAGTAGATAAAGGAAACGTATCAGCGCTGGTTCTTCTAGATCTTTTAGTGGTCTTCGACACTATTGACCATCACACGTTGTTGTCAAGAATGGAAAGTGACCTGAAAGTCAAGGGTACTGCTCTTTCATGGTTTCAATCCTACCTAAGTAGTTATGATTGAGAGCAAAACATCAAGTCCCACAGAGTGGTGTCCCCCAATGTTCCGTGCTAGGACCAGTGCTGTTCTCTATGTACACTACACCACTGGGAAGAACAGCAGCCAAGCACAAAGTCAACCAACATCAATATGCAGATGAGAACCAAATCTCTTCTTCATTCCCTACCACGGAAGCCCTGCCATCTTTGGACTCTCTTTCGGAATCCTGCAATGACATTCAGACATGGATGACTAAGAACCTATTGAAGCGTAATGAAAGTAAAACAGAATTCCTGCTTATTGGATCAAAAGCAAAACTTTCCAAATTTGACAAGCCATCTTTCTGAATAGGAAATACTACCATAGACCCAACCCCGAAGGTCAAGAACCTAGGGGTTATTCCCGATGAAAATCTGAAAATGGACAAGCACATCTGCAACATCATTAGCACGACTCATATGAATCTCAGGAACATTGGAAAACACCGCAGTTATCTCAGTGCTGATGCTGCTTCAAAACCTGTTCTATCTCTGGTCATGTCCCGAGTAGTTTACTGCAACAGCCTTCTCAACAACGACAACCAAGATCAGCCACGTCGCCTTCAAGCCCCCCAAAACACTGCTGCAAGAATCATTACAAAATCTACCGTCTTCGGTCACATTACTCCAATACTAAAAGATTTACACTGGCTACCAATCACCGCAAGAATTTACTACAAACCTATTGTAATGACGTACAAGTGTCTCAAAGGAATGGCCCCGAACTACCTCGCAGAGTTACTGCCCCAGTATCAGCCTCCACGCTCACTGAGATCACAAAACCAAAGGCTAGAGACATCATGACCAACTTTGGCAAAAAGTCGTTCGCTTTCAATGCAGCAATGAAGTGGAATGCTCTGCCGTTTGAACTCAAAACCAGCGCGTCACTAACATATTTTAAGACTGCCCTCAAAACATATCTTTTCAAGTGTCATTTTCCATTTTAAGCGTACAGAGCATTTACTAGTGAATGATGCGCTATATAAATGCAATTATTATTATTGTTACTCAGTATGAAAACAGTGGGCTACAATATTAACCATAGAACGCTAAATTGAAGGTGCGATTCACGTCAGAGGATTTGTAAAGGTCAAAACTGCGATTTTTAACCATTAAACAATAAACAAAAATGTTGACATAGGTCTCCATCAATACACGCTTGTTGTATTAGGCGAATATACACTTGTTCCTTTGAGGCGACTAACGGGATCGCGTGGTCAGACTGGATGACTTATGTGCTGCAATGTGTTTCCAAGTTTCGTAGATCGATGCTCACGATGTTATTCACTGCCACTATCCATGCATGAACCCCCCCCCCCGTCTATAAACCGCCACTATCCATGCATGAATCCCCCTGATCTATAAACCGCCGCTATCCATGCATGAACCCCCCCGTCTATAAACCGTGACTATCCATGCATGAATTCCCCTTGATCTATAAACCGCCACTATCCATGCATGAATTCCCCTTGATCTATAAACCGCCACTATGAATGCATGAATTCCCCTTGATCTATAAACCGCCACTATCTATGCATGAATCCCTCTGATCTATAAACCGCCACTATCCATGCATGAATTCCCCCCTGGTCTATAAACCGCTACTATCCATGCATGAATCCCCCTGATCTACAAACCGCCACTATCCATCACTATCAATGCATGAATTCCCCCTGATCTATAAACCGCCACTATCCATGCATGAATCCCCCCTGATGAATAAACCGCCCCTATCCATGCATGAATCCCCCTGATCTACAAACCGCCACTATCCATCACTATCAATGCATGAATTCCCCCCTGGCCTATAAACCGTCATTATCCATGCATGAATCCCCCTCATCTATAAACCGCCACTATCCATCACTATCCATGCATGAATCCCCTGATCTATAAACCGCCATTATCCATGCATGAATCCCCCCTGATCTATAAACCGCCACTATCCATGCATGAATCCCTCTGATCTATAAACCGCCACTGTCCATGCATGAATTCCCCTCTGATCTATAAACCGCCACTATCCATGCATGAATCCCCCCTGATCTATAAACCGCCACTATCCATGCATGAATCCACTCTGATCTATAAACGGAATCGAATGCTCAAGCTCGCCTACTTGATTGATGTATGTCATCGTATTCCAATTGCACAGATCGATACTCTTGGTGTCAATCACTGGATTGCCTGACTAGAATATTTGAAAGACCACCGTCATATAGATGGAATACTGCTGAGTGCGCCTTCACTAAATAAACAATGTTAATCTGCTGTTTGTCATAACATACCATGTATATTATACTTCTCACCATTTGTTATAGTCACTTTTAGCTTGATAACATAGTATAAACGGAATCGAATGCTCAAGCTCGCCTACTTGATTGATGTATGTCATCGTATTCCAATTGCACAGATCGATACTCTTGGTGTCAATCACTGGATTGCCTGACTAGAATATTTGAAAGACCACCGTCATATAGATGGAATACTGCTGAGTGCGCCTTCACTAAATAAACAATGTTAATCTTCTGTTTGTCATAACATACCATGTATATTATACTTCTCACCATTTGTTATAGTCACTTTTAGCTTGATAACATGTAAGAATCTACACGGAAACGTCGCTCTGTGCAATAAACAAGAAGTTGTCATCCACAAAGTTTTATGTTTCATTTCAAGGTTAGTTAATCAACCAACTAACAAACTTAAGGGATTAATGTACAGTGAGCGGGTAATGTTTTACTCCTCTGTTCAAAGAATAACAACTTGTATGCAGCCTTCCAGGATGTAACACTTTATTGTTAGTACATTATATTTCATTACATGGTTCTGCTGGTCAAACAGATCCGAAGTTTTATCCAAAGGGGTTACCAGAGGTACCAAACTTGACCAGATGGTAGTTGTCCGCATTGCCGATGTAGCCATTACTCAGAGTTTTTGCGAGGGTCAGTTTGATTGGAGCATGCCCACATAACTGGGTGATAAACTGAAACGAGATAGCTGATTGGTCAGAGTACAGATATACGCCTTCATCAACATATTCGGCATCACGTCATTGTACTGGTCCACCGGTGAAGATCCGGGTTAGAATTGGTCTTCAGTCACCCATGCTTGTCGTAAGACTAACGGGATGGTGTGGTCAGGCTCGCTGACTTGGTTGATACATGTCATCGGATCACTGGATCGTCTGGTCAAGACCCGATTAGTATTTTCAGACCGCTACATAAAGATGTAGCTGGAATATTGCTGTGTGCGGCGTTAAACAAGAAACAAACAAACTGCACAGGTGACGAAGATGTATGACTTCCGTGCCATATTCTAACAACTAGTGTCATAACAGGGGTGATGAAGAAGGATACACTTTACGCCTTCATCACCATATTCGTATGGCATTATGTCAGCGTCATTATTGGGATATATACGGTTCAATCTATCATTTAATTCTTGTTCTGGCACTGCGTCAAGCCGTATTTCCATAAACGAAAAAAGCCCAAACAAAACAAAACACATATAAGACAGTTGTCGGGGTTTACCTCAAATCCATCGGCAGTGCATCCCGTGAATATCCCTACTATCCCGCGCTCGTCTTCTACGTAGAAGCCGAACTCAAATGTGGCCACTGGTGTGTACATGGGGATCTGACAGCAGATGTCTGTCACCTACAATTGCAAGGAAACATGTGAAACCCATGCTCGTTTCCCCTAGTACAGTCATGCTTGTCACCCCGATGGTGGGAATAGGTCCCTAAACCCAATGCTTGTTTCCCCTAGTATGTTCATACTTGTCACCTCGATGGTGGGAATAGGTCCCTAAACCCAATGCTTGTTTCCCCTAGTATGTTCATACTTGTCACCCCGATGGTGGGAATAGGTCCCCAAACCCAATGCTTGTTTCCCCTAGTATGTTCATACTTGTCACCTCGATGGTGGGAATAGGTCCCCAAACCCAATGCTTGTTTCCCCTAGTATGTTCATACTTGTCACCTCGATGGTGGGAATAGGTCCCCAAACCCAATGCTTGTTTCCCCTAGTATGTTCATACTTGTCACCCCGATGGTGGGAATAGGTCCCCAAACCCATTGCTTGTTTCCCCTAGTATGTTCATACTTGTCACCTCGATGGTGGGAATAGGTCCCTAAACCCAATGCTTGTTTCCCCTAGTATTTTCATACTTGTCACCCCGATGGTGGGAATAGGTCCCCAAACCCAATGCTTGTTTCCCCTAGTATGTTCATACTTGTCACCCAGATGGTGGGAAAAGGTCCCCAAACCCAATGCTTGTTTCCTCTAGTACAGTCATACTTGTCACCTAGATGGTGGGAAAAGGTCCCCAAACCCAATGCTTGTTTCCCCTAGTATGTTCATACTTGTCACCCAGATGGTGGGAATAGGTCCCTAAACCCAATGCTTGTTTCCCCTAGTATGTTCATACTTGTCACCCCGATGGTGACAATAGGTCCCTAAACCCAATGCTTGTTTCCCCTAGTATGTTCATACTTGTCACCTCGATGGTGGGAATAGGTCCCCAAACCCAATGCTTGTTTCCCCTAGTATGTTCATACTTGTCACCTCGATGGTGGGAATAGGTCCCCAAACCCATTGCTTGTTTCCCTAGTATGTTCATACTTGTCACCCCCGATGGTGGGAATAGGTCCCCAAACCCAATGCTTGTTTCCCTAGTATGTTCATACTTGTCACCTCGATGGTGGGAATAGGTCCCCAAACCCATTGCTTGTTTCCTAGTATGTTCATACTTGTCACCCCGATGGTGGGAATAGGTCCCCAAACCCAATGCTTGTTTCCCCTAGTATGTTCATACTTGTCACCTCGATGGTGGGAATAGGTCCCCAAACCCAATGCTTGTTTCCCCTAGTATGTTCATACTTGTCACCCCGATGGTGGGAATAGGTCCCCAAACCCAATGCTTGTTTCCCCTAGTATGTTCGTACTTGTCACCTCGATGGTGGGAATAGGTCCCCAAACACAATGCTTGTTTCCCCTAGTATGTTCATACTTGTCACCTCGATGGTGGGAATAGGTCCCTAAACCCAATGCTTGTTTCCCCTAGTATGTTCATACTTGTCACCCAGATGGTGGGAATAGGTCCCCAAACCCAATGCTCGTTTCCCCTAGTATGTTCATACTTGTCAACCCGATGGTGGGGATAGGTCCCCCAAACCCAATGCTTGTTTCCTCTAGTACAGTCATACTTGTCACCCAGATGATGGGAATAGGTCCCTAAACCCAATGCTTGTTTCCCCTAGTATGTTCATACTTGTCACCCCGATGGTGGGAATAGGTCCCCAAACCCAATGCTCGTTTCCCCTAGTATGTTCATACTTGTCACCCCGATGGTGGGAATAGGTCCCCAAACCCAATGCTTGTTTCCCCTAGTATGTTCATACTTGTCACCCCGATGGTGGGAATAGGTCCCCAAACCCAATGCCCGTTTCCCCTAGTATGTTCATACTTGTCTACCAGATGGTGGGATTAGGTCCCCAAACCCAATAGTCGTTTCCTTCAGTACAGTCATACTTGTCACCCCGATGGTGGGAACAGGTCCCCAAACCCATTGCTCGTTTCCTCTAGTACAGTCATACTTGTCACCCCGATGGTGGGAATAGGTTCAAATACTTATCATTCTTGTTCCCAGAGAGTTAGAATAGGTTTCCTAACCCAAAGCAGGTTCTCCTTGAGACTAGTGATGAGAATAGGTTCCAGCACTTATTTGTTGTCCCCCGATTGTTAGAATAGGTTTCCCTAACCAAAGCAGGTTCTCTTTGTAGATTAGTGATGAGAATAGGTTCCAATACTTAATTCTTCTCCCCCGATGGTTAGAATAGGTTTCCCTAACCAAAGCAGGTTCTCTTTGTAGATTAGTGATGAGAATAGCTTCCAATACTTATTTCTTGATCCCCGATGGTTAGAATCGGTTTCCCTAACCAAAGCAAGTTCTCCTTGAGACTCATGATGAGAATAGGTTCCAATACTTACTTGTTGTCCCCGGATGGTTAGAATAAGTTTCCCTAACCAAAGCAGGTTTTCCATGTAGGTTAGTGATGAGAATAGGTTCCAATACTTACTTGTTGTCCCCCGATGGTTAGAATAGGTTTCCGAACCCAAAGCAGGTTCTCCTTGTAGACTAGCGATGAGAATGGGTTCCAATACTTAAAATTCTTGTTCCCCGATAGTAAGAATAGGTTGCCCAATCAAAAGCAGATTCTCCTTGTAGATTAGTGATGAGAATAGGTTCCAATACTTAATTCTTGTTCCCCGATGGTTAGAATAGATTTCCAAACCCAAAGCAGGTTTTCCTTGTAGATTAGTGATGAGAATAGGTTCCAATACTTATTTCTATTTCACCGATGGTTAGAGTAGGTTTCCCAACCCAAGGCAAGTTCTCCTTGGAGATTTGTGATGAGAATAGGTTCCAATACTAAATTCTTGTTCCCCCGATGGTTAGAATAGGTTTTCCTAACGAAAGCAGGTTCTCCTTGTGGATTAATGATGAGAATAGGTTCCAATACTTAATTCTTGTTCCCCGATGGTTAGAATAGATTTCCCAACCCAAAGCAGGTTTTCCTTGTAGATTAGTGATGAGAATAGGTTCAAATACTTAATTCGTGTTCCCCTATGGTTAGAATAGGTTTCCCTAACGAAAGCAGATTCTCCTTGTAGATTAGTAATGAAATTAGGTTCGAACACTTAACTCTGTTCCCCCTGGTGGTTAGAATCGGTTTCCCTAACCAAAACAGGTTCTCCTTGTACATTAGTGATGAGAATAGGTTCCAATGCTTAATTCTTCTCCCCCCGATGGTTAGAATAGGTTTCCCTAACCAAAGCAGGTTCTCCTAGTAGATTAGTGATGAGAATAGGTTCCAATGCTTAATTCTTCTCCCCCCGATGGTTAGAATAGGTTTCCCTAACCAAAGCAGGTTCTCCTTGAGACTAATGATGAGAATAGGTTCCAACACTTATTTGTTGTCCCCGGATGGTTAGAATAGGTTTCCCTAACCAAAGCAGGTTTTCCATGTAGGTTAGTGATGAGAATAGGTTCCAATATTTAATTTTTGTTCCCCCGATGGTTAGAATAGGTATCCCTAACCAAAGCAGTTTCTCCTTGTAGATAAGTGATGAAAATAGGTTCCAATTCTTAATTCTTTCACCACCCCGATGGTTAGAATAGATTTCCCTAACCAAAACAGGTTCTCCTTGTGGACTAGTGATGAGAATAGGTTGCAATACTTAAAATTCTTGTTCCCCGATAGTAAGAATAGGTTGCCCAACCCAAAGCAGGTTCTCCTTGTAGATTAGTGATGAGAATAGGTTTCAATACTTAATTCTTGTTCTCAGATGGTTAGAATAGATTTCCAAACCCAAAGCAGGTTTTCCTTGTAGATTAGTGATGAGAATAGGTTCCAATACTTATTTCTATTTCCTCGATGGTTAGAGTAGGTTTCCCAACCCAAGGCAAGTTCTCCTTGGAGATTTGTGATGAGAATAGGTTCCAATACTAAATTCTTGTTCCCCCGATGGTTAGAACAGGTTTCCCTAACTAAAGCAGATTCTCCTTGTTGGTTAGTGATGAGAATAGGTTCCAATACTTTAATTCTTGTTGCCCCGATGGTTAGAATAGGTTTTCCTAACGAAAGCAGGTTCTCCTTGTAGATTAATGATGAGAATAGGTTCCAATACTTAATTCTTGTCCCCCCGATGGTTAGAATAGGTTTCCCTAACTAAAGCAGATTCTCCTTGTTGGTTAGTGATGAGAATAGGTTCCAATACTTTAATTCTTGTTGCCCCGATGGTTAGAATAGGTTTCCCTAACCAAAGCAGATTCTCCTTGTAGATTAGTGATGAAAATAGGTTCCAATTCTTAATTCTTTCACCACCCCGATGGTTAGAATAGATTTCCCTATCCAAAACAGGTTCTCCTTGTGGACTAGTGATGAGAATAGGTTGCAATGCTTAAAGTTCTTGTTCCCCGATAGTTAGAGTAGGTTTCCCTAACCAAAGCAGATTCTCCTTGTAGATTAGTGATGAGAATAGGTTCCAATGCTTAATTCTTGTTCCCCCGATGGTTAGAATAGGTTTCCCTAACCAAAGCAGGTTCTCCTTGTGGATTAGTGATGAAAATAGGTTCAAATACTTAATTCTTTCCTGTTCAAAGCAGTTTCCCGATGGGTACAATAGGATTAAGCGAACCCTAACTAAAGCAGGTTCTCCTAGTAGATTAGTGATGAAAATAGGTTCCAATACTTAATTCTTGTCCCCCCGATGGTTAGAATAGGTTTCCCTAACCAAAGCAGGTTTTCCTTGTAGATTAGTGATGAGAATAGTTTGCAGTACTTAATTCTTGTCCCCCTGGTGGTTAGAATAGGTTTCCCTAACCAAAGCAGATTCTCCTTGTTGATTAGTGATGAGAATAGGTTCCAATACTTAATTCTTGTTCCCCCGATGGTTAGAATAGGTTTCCCTAACCAAAGCAGGTTTTCCTTGTAGATTAGTGATGAGAATAGGTTCCAATACTTAATTCTTGTCCCCCCGGATGGTTAGAACAGGTTTCCCTAACCAAAGCAGGTTCTCCTTGTAGACTAGTGATGAGAATAGTTTCCAATACTTAATTCTTGTCCCCCCGATGGTTAGAATAGGTTTCCCTA